GTTGAAAACACAAAAGTAAGAATCAAAAGGACTTTCAGGGTTGTAATGTGGTCGGGTGAACAAACAAGGGATAATTCCTAAAGCTAATCGAAACAAAAACTTGCCTAAACCTAAGGGAGTGATAAACTCACAAAGTTTCAAACACCAAAATTCCAATCAAACTTCTTCCAAAATCCCAAGTGTTATACCAAACACATAGAACTTATTAGCACAACATTATTCTACTCTTTTTGTTTATCTTTTTCTAAGCTTTTTCAATTTTTCTTTTCTTTTCTTTTCTTTTCTTTTTCATATTTTTCTCATTTTTTTTTCTTTTCTATTTTTCAACCTCATAGCAATCAACAACACAAGTGAACGATCATCATCTCCCCAACTTGAATTCAACCACATCATCATGTGAATACTCCCTACTTTCTAAGGCAAGATAAAAATTCATACAACAACACAAAGTTGAGGGCTCAAGAAAAAACAACAATCAAGATCCACACAAAAAATGAATTTGATACTCATAGACAAGAATAAAACTCAAACAACATGGATAATGACCAAAGGCTCAAAGGGGTTACAAATGATCACACACTCACAAGGTGAATTGACTATTTGGCTAGGTAGTTGTGCTCAAAATGAAACAAGTGCCTTAATCCTTTTCATGCTTTCATATAATCAACACAAACAAAAGATTAAGCATAATAAAATCCAGTTAAAACAAGAATATTGGTACTCCGAGCATATATGAACAACGAAAGGCTTCCTCACAAAAAGGTGGGAACTAAAGTGATTCACAAAATGAACAAGTATACAAAAGAATGAATGGCATGGAAATTGTAAAAAGTCTAAGTATCATGAATATGCTAAAGCCTAGAAAGCGATAAACACATACCTTGAACGTGTACAAAACTTTAAACACTATCATTACCACGCATTTGCAAGTTGAAACACTCAAATTTGGAAAATCACCTCAAATACCTCAAGCTACCAAACAAAAATTTGAGTCCAAACAACAATAAAATACCGGGTGAAAATGGATTAAACAAGTTGTAAAGTGAAGATTTGAGAATTTTACGAATAATCCGAGAACAACTTGTTTAATGAATGTTCACCACACTACCTAAGCTAGAAGGAAAAAGTAATAACGAAACAAAAATGGAAAAAACATGCTTGTTTTACGTCGTAAGCTCGACGCCTTTATTGTGCTTAGCTAGTAACTTCCTTCCTCATGCCATGTGATGTCTCACCGCGCAAACCAAAAGCAAGTGTCCTAACCAACCACTTGAACAAATGTTACGAGAAAAAAATATATACAACATTTAAACAAACATACTGGAAGACAAAAGCAAAACAAGTATCTATACAAGCATATATATACAATTATGTGCAAAGCTTAGAAATATAGAAACTATCGCAATGCGACTCAATATCACAACCAATCCCCGACAACGGCGCCATTTTGTTGAAGCGGTAAAGCAGCAAGCAAAAATATTATTTTCGGAAGAATTTCCTCCGGGATTTATCGTCTCCACAGGGATCAGTGTGAGGGAAAGAATGCCGTTCGACAATCTCTACGTCTCTAAGCTTGGGTTTAAATGGTTTGGGATAAAAATTCAAAAGGAAAAACAAACATAAAACAAGAAAATAAGTACATTCTTAAGAAATGAGAAAACTCTTCAGGAGTTGTATTTCGTTCTACCCATCATGTACTAAAAAATATATGGATCAAATGCACGCAACCTAATTCGCTCGGCAATATCATCACGTATCGCTCACAACAGAGTTTATCTCTAACACAAAGTCGAGAGATCAACCGTATCGTCTCATTGTTGATCTCTCACACAACTCGACAACACGGAGCATTAAGAATCGATACCCACGTGAATATTAGTCCTAAATCTATCTCTAGCATTCAAAATCTAATAGATGTTCATCTTAGATCGAGTTCGAACCGTATATCTATTAAGTAAAAAATCAAGATAAGCATCGATAAAGAGTTGTAAAAGAGATTTTATACAAAGATCCATAAATATACATACAATCAAGATAAACTTACATACAAAACCCCAACAAATGAAATATACATAGAGAGGAAGGAGGAAGAACACAAATCTCACGGTCTGTCAACTCCGATTGAAGTGGATTCGACTCCGGATCGTCAAGATGCACCCTCCAATGTTGTTTCTAAGCTAAATCTACTCAAGAATGTGTTTGATGAAGTTGGGGTAAAAAGTTCCCAAACAACATGCCCTAAAAAGTGCTGAAAAGTCACTTAAATAGACAAAAAAAAGTCCCAGTATTCGTCTGGCGAAGTCCCGTTCGCCTGGCGAACATATACAACTTTTGCTTCTGTAAAAACAGTGTTTTTCACGCGTTTTTGAACTTTCGGTTCGCCTGGCGAACTTTTGTTCGCCTGGCGAACATTCGCCCGGCGAACTTTGGCGAACATGGCAGCAAACCAACTTGTTTCGACCATAACTTTTTAACCGTAACTCCGTTTTTCGCCCGGTTCGAAGCGTTGGAAAGCTTATTCAATGCTCTATCTAACAATGCTCCAACATCAATGCTTTATTACCTACAAAAATGAATGAAATTCAATTAAACTCAATGATATTTACAGGAAAACATAATATATACACTATAACGTAAAGTAAACGCATTTATACACAAAGAGGGGTTTATTCGAACGATTTTAACATAAAGTAAACATAACACACACACACACACACGCGCGCGCGCGCACACGCACGCGCGCACACACACACACACACACACACACACACACACACACACACACACACACACACACACACACACACACACACACACACACACACACACACACACACACACACACACACACACACACACACACACACACACACACACACACACACACACACACACACACACACACACACACACACACACACACACACACACACACACACACACACACACACACACACACACACACACACACACACACACACACACACACACACACACACACACACACACACACACACACACACACACACACACACACACACACACACACACACACACACACACACACACACACACACACACACACACACACACACACACACACACACACACACACACACACACACACACACACACACACACACACACACACACACACACACACACACACACACACACACACACACACACACACACACACACACACACACACACACACACACACACACACACACACACACACACACACACACACACACACACACACACACACACACACACACACACACACACACACACACACACACACACACACACACACACACACACACACACACACACACACACACACACACACACACACACACACACACACACACACACACACACACACACACACACACACACACACACACACACACACACACACACACACACACACACACACACACACACACACACACACACACACACACACACACACACACACACACACACACACACACACACACACACACACACACACACACACACACACACACACACACACACACACACACACACACACACACACACACACACACACACACACACACACACACACACACACACACACACACACACACACACACACACACACACAATATAATAAGTTTGATCCTATTTATAAGCAAAAACTTTACATATTAATTTATGGTTGTTCACCCTCCATCCTACTCCGTTCTATAATATAATAAGTTTTATCCTATTTATAAGCAAAAACTTTACATAATATAATGAGTGAAATTAATTTATGGTAGTACACCCTCCATCCTACTCCGTCGTCCTACAATATAATATAATGAGTGAAATTAATCTATGGTAGTACACCCTCCATCCTACTCCGTCCTATGATATAATATAATATAATGAGTGATCTGTTAACCATTTCATACAAATTAAAAAAAAGAAAAAGAAAGAATAGTATTTTTACTAATCATTATTATGTATTGGGGAATGAAAAAATTAATATTAAAGAATAAAATTGAAGAGAAAAAAAAATACATTAAAAATTAAAATGAGTAATTTATTGGAGAATGGAAGAAGTATAATAATAGAAATATCTATTTCTTTCGGATAAGAGGAAAGCTGACATCCATGTGAAAGCATATATGTTCATGCGGCATGGTGATATAACCTTCGATTTACAACGGAATATTTAAAATGACACATATGAACAAGACCTGAGTTGACTTTGACTCGTTTTCTCTTTTAAAAAAATCGCCAAGTTGACAAAATTAAGAGATCGAAAACACACTATTAGTCAATTTCCACCATGTAGGGGCCTAAGTGTCACTTTGAAATTCTAAATGATGTTTCTGTATTTTGGTCAATACACTACCTAGACCTTCTGTAAGATGTTAAATATGATTTCACAAGTAACAGCAATTAAGATAACTTTAACCAGACAGAATTCATCAAACACAAGATAGGTAGCTCATATCACTGATGGCTTGCAAAGATTTCCTTGAATCATGCAAAAATTTACTCAATGAGACTGAAACATTTTTATTACATGGCTAATACTATGTACCTTTAAAGGTTTGTCCTGCAGCTACTACCATAAAATAATGCAAATGACTTAAATTGAGATCATAATTTGGAGAATACAGTCAGAGTTGAATCACAGCAATAGAGCTTAAACGGCAGGGCAATTCCAATGATGCTAAACAGACTCTAGCATCAAACAAATTGCAAATCATAAATGACATACAGCAATTGCTGTAAGTTTTAGGTTAGAACCTAGCATCCAGCAGCTTCCAATGCCGCACTCCAGTGAGAATGAGCTATTCACAATATCTTGACAAGGCAAACAAAAATGGCCTTGGATTCTTGTTACTAGGGGAAGGGAGAAAAAGAAAATCAGAAAAAGGTTGGCCAAAACAAAAAATAAACAGCATTGAATAATGTATAATCATGTTGAATGCAACATGTTGTACTTCACTCCAATGGGGATCAGATCATTATGTCCCATAATAATCGCCCATGTTCTCAGCAAGATAGTCATATGGTGCAGCTAACCCGTATTCGTATGTTCCATTTAGAGGGGTCACTCTGTGTGAAGCTGGATAGACAGCACCCATGCCAACTTTGGCATTAATCTTGGCTCTGCCTTTGGCTGGCCTTTTGTTATCAGGCGGAAACTCAGCAGAGAGCTTAACCATCTGCTTCTGCAAATCAGCAACTGAATCATTTGCTACTTTTGCCTTGGAGTTCTTCTTCCCATCAACAAGCTTTAGTTCTAAACGGTATAAGGCACATACATCACACTTGCTAATCTCATATTCGTAAAGGTGCCATTCAAAATGGTTCAGTGGTTGTGGATCCATATAATAGGATCTCTTCAGACCTCCAAATTCATTGATAACTTGCTTTCTAGATTCATGCCAACCACGCCCACTGTAATCTGGCAATGACCTCTGCTTTCTGTTTCCACTTTCAAATGCTCTTCGAGGCTTATCGAAGAAAAGCCATTCCCTAATAGTCTCGCCCTCGAGAACAGAAAGATCAAAGAGCTCTGCATTCAAACAAAAGAACAAACTTGTCAACCCTTGTAGCAGATAAATTGTGTAAAATGAAAACCAACAAAGAAAGATTTAATTACCAGGTGCATTCCATGGAGACTTAGCAGTTGCTGCTCCCTCACACTCTGGGATGCCAACATCTTTTCCTTGTGCCTTTGCACTAAGAGCAGAAAAGAGTAAATTATCCTTTAAACCAATGCCCCCTGGTCGAAGAACTGGAGCCATGCCTGGTGGCCCTTCATTCAAAGCTAGAGCAGCATGAAAGCTACTGCAATAATCTTGACACCAGTCTAACCCTTGTGCAGGCCTTGGACAGTCCCAAAGTGCACATTTTGGGCCCAAGAAAGCAGAAGGAGGAGGGCATGTACTTGGTAGATAGCTAGATATATGAGGAATAGCCTCCTCCTCAGAATAACCTGTACCATTGAAACCAGTATATAAGCTGTGATCAAAGTCTTGATGTAAATCAAACTGGTGATATTCTAAAGCAGGCCCATCCTGGTTGTTAGTTGCCACGGTTTGAACTCCTGAGGTTGACTGCTTGCGCTCATCAACCAATGGAAAATCATGTTGCTGCTGGCCCTGTTTTACAGTTAAGTGAGGAAATTAATTACAACTACAGGTGAGATTCAACAATGAAACAAGCTCAGGATTGAAATATAGATAAATGTACAATGTGTAAGAGGAAATTTCGCTATCTGAAGAAAAACAAAAATATTCAGAAGCAAACAAGCATAACTCTGAAGAATAAACAAGCCAAACCACCAGAGCTTCTCTCTTCTTTTCAATCACTTACAGGGGGAAAATAAAAAATAGGTCATTTTAACTAGCCTAATGCCCATTGCAATAGAAAATAACCATTAAATAAACTTAGGCAGACAATGCCGTTGAATAGGTATGGATAAAAAATAGGTCATTTTAACTAGCCTAATGCGCATCAGAGTCAACATCTCTGATGCCCAAGATTGATCACCAAGGTAAAGTAACCAAAGATCCATTTTCAGTAAAAAGTTGCATTAAGCTTTAAACTCTAAAATATGGATTCAGTAGCTCCAAGTAGATGGAATTAACAACTCAATTTTCTCTCGACCACATACAAAAGGCAGGGTTTATCTTGGACAAGGGAATAAGATTTATAGTTATTAAATCACAAATCATGAGACCATTTCAAAAAGTATGGATTGAAATTTATAATGAATCACAAGATCCATTAAAATTAATGAACCATAAAACAATATACAAACAAAAAAAAGCATCTTTCTTTTTTCTGCACATTAATCTCCTTATTTTCTATCTAACTTAAAAAACCTAGCCCACAATGTTTTCAACAGCCTCTTTATTCTCCTGTTTTGTGACACATCAAGGCCCACAAGTCAAGTTGCATTTCACATCCAAACAGGCACCAACCCCACTACCCTACTTCCAGCAACAAACCATCCAATACCAACCAGCAGATTCTCACTATTGCTAGAGCCCAGACTAGCCACACACATCCATGCCTTGATGGTGGATTAGCTACATGCCTACATCTAACCATCTAGGTAGCAAGTGATGGGAAAAAATCGATTTCTTTGGGCTACGTTCTTCATAAAGCTTTCCACCAATAAAAATTTGGCCACATCCAACCACATCTACCTTGTTTCATTGCCAGATAGTGAATGGTTATCTCACTATCCATCTGAGATCTTAAACCAGAATTACATAAAAATTGAGATTCATGGGATCCTTACATGACCTAAGTGATTCAACATGCACAACCAGTGACAAACTAATAATTTATACAAACCGTATCGATTGAGTGAAGACTTGCATTTAGATGCATGAATAAAATTGCAATCCAAATTATTCAATTATAATGTTAAGGATAGTCGAAATAAATCTGTGTGTGCACCATCATACCATAAAGTACTGTTGACTCTACTACGAGGCAGACAAGGTGTCAGGCAGCTAGCTGTTCACTCAATTTACCGCCCGCCTCTCTTAAACCCCTTCCCATCTACCCTCCAACTCACAGAAAGATATAAAGATGAATGAGATTGTGAAAAAAAACAAATAAAGCAGCGGGATTGCTACCAAGCTATGCACATTGTGCTTTTTGGCTTCTATATAAATAATAGATGATAGATACTATTCAAATTTCAAGAAAGGAGAAATTGACTTTAAACTAAATATACGTACATTTTCAGTCCAAATATAACAGAAATATGGACCTTGTTTGTCACACTGAAAGTTCAGACTTTAAAAGGACCACACTAAATGTTCAGTGAAAACAAATTAAAATAAAAAGTATCATAACACCATTGTCAGGAGCAGAAGAGAGAAATTAAAATCTTTTTTAGTTTACATTACATGATATTAACTATTACAGAAGCATCTATGAGACTGATGTATATAAAAAGTCAAAGTAATGCACCTAATAAAGTAAAAGTAGAGAAACATGAGTGAGAGAGAACTTAAGTAGCTAATGTCACAGGGCCTGCAAAAATATGAAGTGCAAAATAGATCATTTATCTTCAAAAGGGAATACAAAACTTACTGCTTGAAAAATGACTTTATCCCCAGCCTTAAGAGTCTGGTCATTAGGTTCAGGCTTAGGTGCAGCTAATGGACTAGAGGCATCATCTTCTTCCTCACAGAGCTGCAAAAGCCGACAGATATCTGTGGAGAATGACCCAAGACTTCCACCCTAAATTCACCCACAAATACCACAGTTCACAATCACAGCTTTACCACTAATATTACCATTCAATTTCACAATTAGCAAATTGCTGGTTAGAAACAACTCAACAAGCACTCAATACATGACAATTATCTCAAACTAGTTGCAATTGCATTGAATCTAATAAGAATAGCACACAAATAGTATGATCTTACTTGCTGCAAAGAAGAAGCAGGAGAAGGCTCATTGAGCTCGGCCTTCCACTCACGAAGCATCTGATGCACTTGTTCCTCAAGAACTGCAGCATCAACAGTGCGGCTCTCCTTCCTAGCAAACTGCAAATCCATGAATGTCAGCTGCAGGTCATCAACACGGTTCTTTGCCTTGTCCTTAAAAAGCCGGTGTGATGCAGATTTGCAGCTGCTCTTCGAAATCTTCTTCATTGTCAAACCTGAAGCTCTTCCTTGTAAAACCCTAAACTCACAAATACAAAAACCGAGTTTCAGTCCACCACAACTAAAACATGCAAAACAAAATTCTAAAGAATAACCCAAAAATCCACCGGCTGACATGCAAAGTTATTATCATGATTCATGAACATGATCAGAAGCATATTCCAGTCCAAATCATTCACAGCCCCAAAAGACTAAAATTAACTTGATTTTGAATTATATTAAAAGATTCCCTCTAATTACAACTAATCAACCAATAAACGCAAGGATATGTATGAACTATGAACACAAACTCTTTTCCTGATGAAAAATAAACCCTACTCATAGATCGAGACATTAAAATCACCTAAAATTCATCTTGAAAATAATCTAGCCAAAACCCCCCAAAAACGCTAAGCGAAAAACTCGAAGTTAAGCATTGATACAGTGAAGTAGAACCGAACCAATTCAATAAACTAGTATTCAGTAAGAAATTGACAATCAAAAAACAAACTCGGTGAAAAAAACGCAAAACAAAATGAAGAGTAAAAAGGTGATGAAGATCGATTGAAAGGTGAGACTATTGCTTAGGGTTGAAAATAGAAGCACGGTGCTACCTCAGATTCTGCGATAATCGCTTTTATTCCCCTAAAAAAGTTGTGTATTGGATTTTGAGGCGCAAATACGAAGGGTTCAGTTTTTTTTTTGGGAGTGTCTCTACCAAAATTTGAGAAGGTGAAGAAAGTGATATATAAAGGAAACGGAGAGAGAGTTTGTGTTGATGACTTCTCTTCTCTCCCTCCTTTTGCCTGCTGATTTTCTGAGGCAATAAAGCAAAGACTATTAGGATGAAGAATCAATATTAATACATGATCAAAAGCATTTATCTTTTTGGTGAATAATGAGTAAAGGAAAATGTAATTACAAAAGAGGGTATTGTATTTTTCTTTTTTTGAGAAAAAAATATGTATTAAAAGTGTAAAATAATTATTCTCTCCCAATCAATTACTAACATATATTCTGTGAAATTATATTGATATTTTTAAGTTAGTAATTTGACATGGTTGAATGATGAATACCTTTAATCTCTTTTTTATTAGCAAGAACAACTTATAATATTTTATTAATTTAAAGTTGTCCAATACAATGAGTTATTTCTACCATTAATTAGCAGTTAGATAGAGATGTGGTTGTCTCATGGATATTTTCATATGTGCATCTTTCAATAAAGCAAATATAACACTTTATCACAAGAGTATAAGAGAATAAAAAAAACATATATAAGTTTAAAGAGTTTTTGACTGATGCATCTTGTAATTAAGAACTTGAATCCATTATAGTTTTGGACTCACTTTTCCTTTACAAAACTAGGCGATGTGAGACTTCTTTAACATGTATATTTTCAACTAATCTCAACAACTCCAATGAAAACCTTTGCCCGAGTACTCTTCAACACATGCAATGTTGCAATGATTCACTAAAGGAAATTATGTGTGCGTCAAAATAACCTAAAATGAATAGGAGAAAAAGTATTGAAGGTTGTAAAAGAAGTCTCAATGATGGTTTAATTTTGCATAAGGGTGAAAACTAGTCATGATTCGTGGTATACAACAAAACCTTTATGTTTTTTTTAGATTGCAATGACTGGACATGTGTCAAACGTGTTTGGTTGGTACTTAGAATTTGAAACTCGATCTCTTTTGATTATCCAAATGGGTATGGGACTTTAGTCATCATATGCAAAAACATATTTACAAACATCTTTGGATACGATTGATAGATCTTCTATAAGAGTATTGACATCCTATAATTTTTTTAGATTGCATCCAGAGTTGGAACGTTGTTATCCTTGGTCGAACCAACAAAAAAAACATTGAGTGTTTGGTTATTATGCTCATGTCTTGGTTGATATGGACATATCTATTGGACAAGTGACTTCAAACGTAAGTAAGGGAGTGAATTGTAGTATTCAAAATTCGCGATTAACTTTAAGTGTTTGTTACTTAAAAAGCAAATTGTGTTAGTATTTTTGAGATCGGAGTAAAAAATAGCAGAAAGTAAAAGTAGTAACGTAAATATTAGAAAATAAGATATAAGGGATAGAGAGATACCACCATAGAATTATCCAGATTTGGTTGAACGTTGGCTTACTCCTATCCCCAAGAGATCTTCTTGAGATTTGACTATAAACTTGAGCCTTTACAAGTTATGTCCATGAACCTTTAATACAATTATATCTAGAGACTTTACAATAGCTTATCCCCAACCAAAATAAAGTTTTTCCATGAGTTGAGCTAACGAACCGATTAGATATTTTCCAAGTTAATCTCAATAACCAAACAAAACTTTTTCAAGCTAAGTTAGAACCAAACAAAGATTTTAAGATTGGTTAATCTTAAAAACCAAACTCAATGTCTCAGAAATATCGCATTCTAGACAGTAACAACAATGGCACGACATTGGTACAACTTCTTCCTCACAAACATTTTTCACTCATAAGACATTAAGGCAACTTTGGTGAAAAGAAAATATTTAGAAAGAGAGGGAAGAGAGATAATTGTAAAGAATTAGAGAAACCTCGAATTCTAGTGTGAAATGAAGAAGAGAGGCACCTCCTTTATATAGAATTAAAATTGGCTAAAAAAGGAAATGATCTATGGGCCAATAACTCATCTAATTGATTAGGCATTAAAATTATTTTGTGTGTGTGCATGTGCATGCGTGTATGTGTTTCTGCATACGTGCATGTGTATATGTGCATGTGTGTGTGTGTGTGTGTGTGTGTGTGTGTGCGCGTGTGAGTTGCCTTAGTATCTTAGGAGTTACTCTCTTACTTTCACAAGAAACTGGTCACTCAGATAGACACAATTATGCAAGCTTTCACATTTTCTCTATTTCACAACTCTGAAGTTACCAAGTTCTTTTTCCAGATATGTCGATCATATAAGCATTTCACTAGAACCTTGAATCTTCTATTTGACGAGGCTTGAAAAATATTCAATTTAATCACTATTATCCAAGAGTTAGAAAGATATTACCACCGAATTTAACAAGCATAAGTGTTATCATTGTTAAAATACCAAGAAGGTCACCAATAACAGAACCATCAGCTTCATACCTGAAAGAACATAGATCCACATTATCTACCAAATTATTTGAGGAAATATTTATGGAAAAATAAGGTTTTATCTTTTATGTATAAGTCATATATGAAATGTTTTCATAATTTTTTTCCAAATTACAAAATAACTAGCCACTATATTGACCAATGCAACAAAAGTTATGATGAAGATCCATTAGTTGATATGGCCAAATAAAATAAGGGCAGGAAGGTTCAACATGGAGATAGAAGCAACAGGGCACAAAAGGCCCCCAAGCAATGTCAAGATTACTATAAGCTCTTAATAAAACAACATCGGGTTGTTGTTGACAACTTGAGGGTAAGGCACATTTGGTAGACCTTGTTTATACAAACAAGGATAACACCTCTTTTAGTTTTGTGAACCATAATGTCACTAATGAGATTGTGTCAAATGTTAGCAGTCAATCCTCACAAATTTTGACAAAAAATCTCTAGAGAGGTTGGTGGAGGGGTGCATCAAGAGGTTGAGGAGTATACTGATTAGATACTTCAAGTACCACAACTATGTACAACATCAGATATAAAGATGGAGATACCACGAGTTTTCTTAATTTCTCAACATCAGGTAACATATGATGATATTATGAGGAAGGTTGCAGAGACATGTCTTTCTTCCACTATAGATCATCATGTTGAACAGGTTGGCACATTTGATCTCTATGATATTGATAGTTTTTCTTTATATCTTGTAAATGACAGGTATTTCCCTCCCAAGACGAAGTATTAGCATGGGCATAATCCATTGGTAAACAACATGAGATTATTGTTGTCAACATTCATTTTGATACTGCAAATGGGATGTGAGGGAGAAAAGATAAATTGATTATGGATTATGAGAGAGGAGGAAACTACAAAAGGAAGAATATATTTGAAAGCAAAAGTTCCTCATAAGGCATTTATAGTGTGAAAGTTAAGTGTTCTTTTATACAGAGATTTGTGCCAAGTGGTAGCGGTTGGAAGGTGATGGTTAGGTGCGATTTGCACAATCATCAACTATCTATAGATTTAAATAGCCATGACATGTTTGATCATCTAAAAGATCATGAAAGATATTTTATGAGGGTGTTGAAGATTCTAAAGATCATTAGGCAATGGGAGGATGAAGTTAGGAAGTCATCATAATTTGTTTTGTATTCCTATATGCAGCATATTTTCCATTTCATGTATATTTTATCGGGTTATTTATTTCACAAAATTAATGCAAAAAGAAGTTCAATACCTAACTGTATACCAGATTTTTCACAATTTTTGGAAATTTTTGGTACATATCGGAAATTCTAAAAATTTCGGCATGGTACTACCGGAAATTTAAAATGTTGGTAATTCTTCGAACAAAACAACAAACTTCTGATATTCTTTGTGAAATTTCTGGTATTTTTTCAAATTTTTATTAAAATTTTGTTTTTTTTTTAATTTCAGATATGTCCTCGTACTTTATGAAATTAGGCAAATTTAGGCAAGGGTATGACGATAAAAGCACGCAATGTATGGGGGTGTCAGGTTAAATTCTCCTAATCTTGTCATGGCTTTCAATCTTTAAACGTAATCTAGCCTGGTCCGACATGATTTATCCCAATGAGTTTGGTTACATAAATATGTTAGATTTATTCAACTTTCTCGCTATTAGACTGCATGTTGTTCAGTCTAGCTCAATCGTTGTGGGAAAATTTTACCCTATACCCCTACACTTATCCCTATATCCCTACATTTTATGAAAAATGCCAATTTTACCCTTGTATGTTTTTAACTATTTTACTTTTTTACTATTCATTGGAGATTTTTAAAAAATTGCACCCCTACAAAAGTGAATCGAAACACTTACAAAAAGACTTCTAGCACGTATTGACTGTGTACTAGATAACTTAAAAAA